TGTTAATTCTTTTTGTTGTTTTGTTTTTTGGAACACCAGAAACTTCATTCCCAACAGCACTCTGAGAAAAGCCAGGCTGATACTTAGATTACAGGGTTCACAGCCTTACAGGTTAGTAAAGAAGGTCATTTCCTGGTAGGCCCAGGAATTTAGGGATATTTTGGGGGCTTCAAGAAGAGAGGAATTCACACAAAGCTATAAGGACTGCAGCTGAAATTTGATAGTATGTTCTTAGCTTGGCTTTTAGCCTGAATAAGGCCTTTAAAAATCAAATCTGAGATTCTGTATGAAAACTTCCAGCAAAGAAACTTGAAAACACCTATGTGGTCATCTCCTGTTCTTGCTGCACTTACGTAAATAATCAAGCAAAAATCTAACAAAACTAGACTTATTTTTAAAACAAGAATAGTCTTACTTTGATTATGATCAAAAATGATGGGTACTACAGAGAAATTTATAACTATTTCCAAAACAATGGAAAACTATAGCTTGGCCGGGCATGGTGGCACATGCCTATAATTCCAGCACTTTGGGAGGCCAGGAGTTCAAGATCAGCCTGGGCAACATGTTGAAACCCCGTCTCTACCAAAAATACAAAAATTAGATCGGCACCATGACATGTGACTGTAGTCCCAGCTAATGAGGAGGCTGAGGAGGGAGGATCACTTGCACCAAGGAGGTAGAGGTTACAGTGAGCGGAGATTGTTGCACCTTTGCACTCCAGCCTGGGCGACAGAGCCAGACCCTGTCTCAAAAAAAAAATTTTTTTAAGGAAAGCTATAGCTATTGTGGGTTATCAGATTCTAGTCTTGTTAATTGTTTTGGGGCTATTTTTACCTCTTTGTAAACTGGATCCTGCCATCTGATGAATTTTGTCCCACAATGATACTTGTGGAATAAGAAGCCAAGTATTGTCTCTCCTACTAATGTATCTATTGTCAGTTAATTTGAAGGTCTCCAACCCTGGAACAAAGTTAGAAGAGGTAGGTTTTTCTCCCCAAAATGCATAACCAAACTGTGGTACATTCATGCAATGGAATACTATTTAGCCATAGAAAGGAACAAGCTATCAACTCACACAAAGACACGAGTGAATCTTGTATGCACATTGCTAAGTGGAAGAAGACAGTCTGAGGAGAATACACACAGTGTGACCTCATTTAATGAGACTGCAGAAAGCAAACTACACAGATGGGAAGCCATTGGCTCCATGGGGTGGGGGTTTGAAGCATTCCGTATGATACTTTAATAGTGGGTACCTGCCACTATGCATTGGTCAAAATATGCAGAATTTTACAACCAAATGGGTAAATCAAACTCTATTCAAATTAAATAAAATTACTCAGGATGTGGAGTATCCAAGGACAGAATATATCATGTGAAAAAGAATTTAACTATGCTACAAATTACTATGGTTTGGATGTGGTTTGTCCCTGCAAAAACTCGTGTTGAAATTTGACCCCCAATGTGGCAGTGTGGGGCGGTGGGGCCCAGTGGAACGTGTTTGGGTCATGGGGACAGATCCCTCATGAATAGGTTAATGTCCTCCATGGGGGTGAGTGAGTTCTACTCTCACAGGAATGGATTAATTCCTGCAGGAGTAGGTAGTTAACAAGAGTCTGGGTTGCTTGGCTTCCTTCTTGCTTTCGCTCTTGCTATGTGATCTCTGGTGCACCCCTTGCTCCCGTTCCACTTTCCACCATGAGGTGAAAAAGACTGAGACTCCACCAGATGCAACTGCCCAATCTCAGACATTCCAGCCACCAGCATTGTGAGCCAAAAGGACCTTTTTTACTTGCAAATTACCCAGCCTCAGGTATTCTGTTACAGGAGCATAAAACAGACTAAGACACAAATGTAGGAAAAAACTCACTGAAGGTGTAGGGAAAATGGTGTTGACCTAAGTCACTTTGAAAATGAATAGAATCCGTATGCTGAAGGCAAATGAACTATACTTCATCACTGGATTCCATTTTATAAAGTTCTTTCCAACAGAAGCAATTGTGAACAATTGTAAAAC